TTTACTAAAGAAAAGCACACGTTTCAATCAAAACCACTCGCAGGTATTTTATGTACTTCCTTAGTTTTAGTTTACACTGGAAGTGGTGGATCCTATATCTCATGAATCTATCCATTCCATGCCCTGTTTTTATATTACAAAATAGCAGAAGACAACCATAATAATAATTGAGAATTGGTCAATATGTAGTAAAATACAGGGGCTCTATCCCCTGCACCCCGCACACTGGACTGCAAAGAATCTACCAAATAAGTACAGCATGCCTTGACTATGTGGAGGATTGTTGTCTTCCATTATGTGGGTTGAAGAGCAGTACTCTCCTGGCATGACTCATGAATGCCACACTCCACCATTCTTAGATCAATGGAAATCTTGGAGCAACTGATGAACAAGCTCCTTGAAAGCTAGCTGAGAAGGGCTAATCACCTAAAACACTGCAAGAATAATCCAGGGCAAGACAGGGATGTCACATGCCTCACAGCCAAATTTATTCATGACAAAATATTTGCATTATCCAGATCCAATGGGTTTAAAGGAAATGTTATATAGGGCTACATAAAAAGCAGAATGTTAACCCACTAGCACCGGTCCATTTGGAAGGCGATAATCCCCGTTTCTGGGCAGTATCAAAATCGACGTGCAGGCCAGGCCAGGAACCTGCCCGTGTGCTATCCGCCTTGGGTGACCTAATCAGAGTGCAAGCTCCAATCTAGCATCGCAGGGGTAGGACAGCCAGTTATGTTTATTTTTATGGGCGTCACCTATGTTTGACACCCAGCGCAAGTGGGTTATTTTTTGATGGGCATAGTATTGATATATACATATTGCTCATTGAATAAGTAATGATGAAAAGCAGGATTGCGGGTAGTAGGTGTAGAAAAATTTTGCGGAAAATAATCCTGCAATCTCTTGTCAAAAAACAATGATTTTGTGTGGAGCCATAAGTGTAGGATTAACAAATCTGCAATCCTTTTATCTTAGTTTTCTCTTCCTCTTCCTCCCTATGACTCCAATGATTCTTTACTTTATTTGAAGTAGTTATCACAGAGGTGTAAATTTAATTAGTTAGGGTATTTATACAATGAACCATGACGTGATTTTAACCGTTATTGAAGTATTGTTACCATGAGTTGTTTGAGATTTAATCTCTTTGGTTCTGTTTTCCACAGTCATGTAAGACCTGTCAAAAATTGATAGGAGTTTGCCCTGCAACTTTTTCATTATTAAGTGAGAAACATGTAGTATCAGTAAAGATGGCAGTAGTGTTTGGCAAGTTCTCCCAGTCACACCCATGACATTATCTCCATACACCCATTAGTTGGGTAGGCCCTTCTCTTACTGAGGCAATCATACATGTGTTTTTCCACTGCTTTCTTTGTATGGATGGAACGCTGTTAATGTGAAGTTTATAATGCTATATGGCATATTTCATTTTTTCATTTAGTTAAACCCGTCTATCTGCTATATTGCCCCTCTATACTATACTATTATTTGTCAATGGTTACTTCTTGTTTTATCATGCTTTTTGGTATTTATACTTATATATATTATTTATGCTTAATGTTTTATATGTTTCTTTATTTTTATTTGATTGTTTGGTTTATCCCCATTCATGTGTAAAAGGTAATGGAGAGAAATTTTTCACTTTAGTATATGATTGCTGTTGCATGTATTTGGTGTATGAAAATTGAATACATATTGAAATGTTTCTCTTAGTGAAACTTGAAAAAAAGACTTTATGTGGCTCGGGGACCAGATAAGTTGTGGAATTTGTTGTTCTTAGAAGTGTTTGACTAGGATTTCAAATAAAATGGTAAATTTTATGTAATCTAAGATACTTAGAGTAATGTTACTCTCCAAACTCGCAGAAGATCAATAGCATTCTGTAGATGCTTTGCATTGCAGATTATACTGGATATACACAAATTTGCATTCCGATTGTCACTGATTTTAACACAATTGATAAAAAAAGAATTGAATGGTTCTGAGCTCATTTGTTGTTATTATTATTATTAATTATTAATTATCATTAATTAAGATTTAAGATCTTTATTAAGATCAATTAAATACCAAAGATGAGGAAACAGATGCTAGTAGTATTTTGATGTTAAAGATCATTCAGAGGCATCTTACTTCTTTTTTTGATAAAGGCAAGTGAAAATAAGTTTTGATGAGTAGGAAACGGATTCTACCAATAACAAGGATGGTGATGATTCTACCAATAACAAGGATGGTGATTTGAAATAACCACATTTTTAGTTAAACATTTAAATTCTTTTCTTCTTTTCAGGCCAAGGAAGTACTAGCAAAGGAGAGCAATGTACAAGAAGTCAAATCTCCAGTAACAGTATGTGGAGATGTCCACGGACAGTTCCATGACTTAATGGAACTGTTTAAGATTGGAGGGCGATCTCCTGACACCAACTATCTTTTTATGGGAGATTATGTTGATAGAGGGTACTATTCTGTAGAGACAGTCACCTTGCTAGTATGTCTTAAG